CTATTTTTTAAAAGATATTTATTTACTTTGAAAGAGTTATGCAGAGAGAGGGAAATATGGGCAGACACAGGCACACACAGACACACACACACAGAGGTATCTTCCATCCACTGGTTCACTCCACAAACGGCTGCATTGGCCCAGCGCTGGGCCCAGCAAGGCCAGGAGCCAGAAGCTTCTTCAGAGGCTCCCATGTGGGTGGTGGGTTGCAGGGACCTAAACACTTAGATCATCTTCCACTGCTTTTTTCAGGCCATTAGCATGGAACTGGATCAGAAGTAGAGCAGCCTGGATACAAACTGGTGCCCATTTCACAGTGCTGGCCCCCTCAAATGGCTATTCAATCCACATTGTTTCTGATGTATTTTGCTATAGGCAAGGTTGTTTTTGTCAGTACAGGCAACTTTCTAGAGTTTCTGTGCCTGTGCTGCACAGAGACCCTTGTGATATTTTAAGAAAATATTTTCAGAATGCTAATGTGAAATTCCAGCAACACACTTCCCTTGATTCAGCAATTATGACATTGGAGATTCCTCCTGCACCTTCTCTTATCTGCTGGGTGTTGACAGTGGAGACTGAATCCTCTGTTGGTGGCGACTGTGGAGAAGCCACTTGAGGGAGAGGGACTTAGACCCATGAGCTGGAAAAGGGGAGGAGGCAATGAATAAAAAATTTCAGGAAATCAGATATCGAGGAAAAGAAATGATTACTTTTCCTGTGCTGACTACTCATATGCCCTTTTTCACTTTTAAGAATCTCAAGAGTGTGGCTTTATGGCTTTTATAACTAATTATTAATTATTTTGGCAGAGTGTGTGTGAGCTCCCATCTGCTGGTTCACTTCACCAATGTCTCCAACAGCTTCGCTCCCCATCCTGCCCCCCAAACACACACACACTTGGGCTGAAGCACAAGAACTTCATCCAGGGCTCTCAAGTGGGTAGCGGGAACTCAATTACTTGAGCCATCAGTGGTTGCTTCCCAGGGTGCACACTAGCAGGAAGCTGGAATCCATGGAACTCAAACTCCCGCACTCCAATTACGGGATACAGGCACCTCAACCAGAAGCTTAATCACCACGCCAAACACCTGCCCCTGCTTGCTTTTATTTACACGGTCACTACCCAGTGACTTCGATAAAACTACCTCTGCCCTTGAAGACAAACAGGGAGCACAGCGTAATTTCTCTTTGGTCTGCCAGTCCTCAAAACCACTTACCACCTGGGTTTTTTAAGAGATCTTTCTGTTAGTGATAATAGGAAATACACAGAATTTCATTTTTTAAAGACGACTTCCTCTTTTTAAGAGGCATTTTTCCTCCTTGATTTCTTTTTTTTTTTTTTTTTTTTTTTTTTTATTTTTTTTGACAGGCAGAGTGGACAGTGAGAGAGAGACAGAGAGAAAGGTCTTCCTTTGCCATTGGTTCACCCTCCAATGGCCGCCGCGGCCGGCGCGCTGCGGCCGGCGCACCGCGCTGATCCGATGGCAGGAGCCAGGAGCCAGGTGCTTTTCCTGGTCTCCCATGGGGTGCAGGGCCCAAGCACCTGGGCCATCCTCCACTGCACTCCCTGGCCACAGCAGAGGGCTGGCCTGGAAGAGGGGCAACCGGGACAGAATCCGGTGCCCCGACCGGGACTAGAACCCGGTGTGCCGGCGCCGCTAGGCGGAGGATTAGCCTAGTGAGCCGCGGCGCCGGCCCTCCTCCTTGATTTCTTAGAAACTAAAGGAAAAAAATAAGGTTACAAAGCCTTCAAGCCTTCAAAGCCTGAAAGATACAATTCATTTTCAATTCAGGGATTAATTTGATTCAGTAATTTTCCTGGCTTTCTGTGTCAGCGGTGGCTCTGTGATCTTTGGACACTGAGAGAGCAGCCTGGAGGCAGACAGCACGAGGTTCTAGACCTGCTGGCCGGGCACAGGCAGGGCAGAATGAGACAAATGCACAATTCACCTTTACCCGCTCCAACTTCTTAGCTTACTAATCTTCTCATAAGGTCAGTTCCAGAAAGTTCCTGCTTAAGTCAGGAATGGGTTTAGAACTGAGCAGCTCTGCTACACTAAGGGGATGATCTATGTGAACAGCAGTTTGGAGATGCTAGATGACAATTACAAGACATTGTTTTGGACTAAGCTCTTGCGCAGGCCTGGCCTAAAATAAAAATGGTGTCACTTATACTACAGTTCTAGCCATCAAACTGAAGCTGCTTTTCTGACCTCGTCAGAGATCACAAATAGAGAGATAACAGCCACATTTCCTGAACAGGTCAGTTTCTACTGGCATTATATGAAATTTTCCTCTGCTTCAAGCCTTGCACAAAAGAAGCAACCTGAAGGAAAGCTACTTTGGAAATGACCAATCTGGTTTTTGCTTGTTTCTGCTTTATTGTCACTTTTTGGTCTATAAAACCAACTTCTTTTACTCACTCCGTAAGACCATGAAATATAGTGTTTTCTGATTCTAGAATTGAAAATAATATCAGTGATGATCTTTAAATGAACTGCTACAACTTTGTTCTTTTATACAGGCAAAGGGGTTTGCTATGGCCACCTCTCTGGGACAGCTTTTTCAGAGAATCTTTTATGTGTACATCAGTCAGGTCTTAGTTAATTTTATCCTTGTATTCAACTGTTAGTATCTGTTCTGTGTTATAAGAAGTGCTGTTTATGTACTAAGTTAGGTTGCAATTCCTTACTTAGGGGCTCAGAGTATGGAGGCATCCCCAGGCCAAATTTAGTTATTTTATTTCTATAGTTTTGGATCAAGACTAGAATGGACACAGAAATCTGCAGTGGTCTCAAACACTGCCAAGACATTCGATTTGGACTGAAAGTCCAAAGCTCACTTTACAGAAAAACAAATTGAAGCACAAAGAGATTAAGTAACCTGTCCAAGTGAGTGCTTAGGGTGGGGTTCAAACTCTGTTTCAAAAGTTCATACTCATAGGCTAAAGGAACTTAAAGGAAAATTAACAGATGCACAATTTATAGAAATGATAATTCCAGGGGCTGGCACTGTGGCACAGCGGGTTAACGCCCTGGCCTGAAGCACTGGCATCCCATATGGGCGTCGGTTCTAGTCCCAGCTGCTCCTCTTCTGATCCAGCTCTCTGCTATGGCCTGGGAAAGCAGTACAAGATGGCCCAGGTCCTTGGGCCCCAGCACCCATGTGGGAGACCCGGAGGAAGCTCCTGGCTCCTGGCTTCAGATCGGCACAGCTCCGGCCCTTGAGGCCAACTGCGGAGTGAACCATTGGATGGAAGACCTCTCTCTCTCTCTCCACCTCTCCTCTCTCTGTAACTCTTTCAAATAAATAATTTTTTTTTAAAAGAAAGAATTCCAGACAAAATATTCTTGGTAAGTTAAACTTTCTACTTTTACAAATAAGGAAAACTTGAACATTTTACAAAGTCAGACAACTAGTTAATGCGAGAATCATGAATGGATCTCAGGGGTTGGTATTGTGGGGTAACGGGTTAAGCTGTGTGTGCCAGTTCCAAACTGGTTGCTCTGCTTCCAATCTTGCTCCTTGAAAATGTGCCTGGGAAGGCAGCAGAAGATGGACCAAGTGCCTGGACCCCTGCTATCCACTTGGGAGAGCCAAATGGTGCTTCCCGCTCTGTTGTGGTAATTTGGGAGTGAACTAGCAGATGGAAGATAACTCCCTGTCTCTGTTAAGAGCCTTTCAAATAAATACATAAAACTTAAAAGGGGGAAGTGGGACAGATCTCCTATTTTCCAACTACTAGGTCACTTATTTTTTTGTGCCTCATCGCATGCCCTTCAAAACCAAACACTGAAGTTTCAGCATTTAGCCCGGCAGCTGAGGAACCGGCTAAGATGCTTGCCTCACAGCAGAGTGGCTGGCTTCAACATTGCGCACCTGCTTCTGATCCAGCGTGGCTTTGGCCCCCATCCAGCCCTGGGCACGGCAGCCATTTGGGGAGGGAACCAGTGGATGGGGTGTGTGTGTGTGTGTGTGTGTGTGTGTGCGTGCGCGCGCACCTCTCTCAAACCGGACGGAATAAAGTGCATGAATGTATTAAACTAGGAGTCAGCCACGGAATTTATGTGGGACTCACACAACCACATGAACAATCCTGATTTAAGGTCTAAAATACAAAATTAATCTAAAGTCACTTTAACATGTCAAGTAAGTAAAAGAAATGAAAGAGGTATAACAAAAATTTTAAAACTGTTAAACCTCAAAGTTTTTTTTTTTTTTTTTAATGTATAAACGGCTCCATCCCTCATGTTTAGGAAGAGACTAGGATAAATATCGGATTTCATTTTCTTTTAAGTTCGTCCAAGAACTTTCTTTTTCCCCAAAGTAACTTCTATTACAAGATAAACGTATATGGCAGAAACGGAAAAGCAAAGGGAAACACTTATCGGCATTCCTCTCACCCAGTTTCAGTTTGAAGTCTTTTTGTTTAAGGGTATGCCGCAGAAAACGAACGCAGCAATTAAAGACATAGTCTCTGCTCACCGCCAGTAGGGTCGGAGCACGCCGGGAGCAGGCCGCCTACGCTCCTCGGACCTGCATTACCTCAAAACCCGGGTCCCCACACAGTCCGACTCGGCTGTCAGGAACGCCAGGCTTTCAGAACCGCCCGGTCTCGCTAGCAGTGACCGCGCAGCGGGCGGGGACCGCCGCTCCCAGAGTCGCCCGCGGCGCCCGGGCGCGGTGCATGCTGGGACTTGTAGTCCAGGCCGGGCCGAGCAAACTGGGGCTCCGCGTCTAATGCGCTCCTCTGCCGTAAACTTCCCGGCCCAACGGTCAGCTGAAGCCGTCATCTACACCCTCCTGAGATAAACCGCATCTCATTCCAGGTTCACGAGGCTGCCGCTGGGCCCCTTGAACCCAACGCTCAAACGCACTGCGGGCTCCTTCCTAAGCCTCACGGAGATTGGTCTGCGCTCAGCATGGGGCGGAACCCTGGCTGGAATGGCGCTCCGGATTGGCCAGTTTAGGAGTTTTTTTTGGGGGGGGGGACGGTTTACTTGCAGAGATGTGCGCTGTGATTAAAAAGTGAGTCCTTTGCCACAGCCGTCCTGCTCGCGGGGGAAATCTCGCGATGTTTCGGCAGCAGGGACCCCGAGCCGCGTCGTGAGCTGCGGAGGACCGTGGCGGCGGCGGGCACCGGCGCCGGGAAGGGACAGGTCGGGCGGGAGGGCGCGCGCGCCGCTGTCCTCGGTCGGGGCCTCGGACCCGGGCCCGGAGGCGGTGTGCGCTCGGCGCGGCTCTCCCGGCCCGAGCTCGGCCCCGGGCGGCCTCGGGGCTGCACCTGGGCCCGCGCCGGCGGCGGTGACAGGTGCGCGCAGCAGCGCGGCGCTCGGCCGGCCCGCCCCCTCCGGGGCTCGGGATGCGCTGCGGGCCCCGGCGGAGCGGCTCGGATCGCTGCCGGAGAGCGGCCGCCGCCCCTGAGGGCGCCGCGGCGGGTCTGAGGCGCCGTCATGAACCTGCACCAGGTGCTGACGGGGGCCGTGAACCCCGGCGACCACTGCTTCTCCGTGGGCAGCGTCGGCGACCAGCGCTTCACGGTGAGTGCGGGAGCGCGGGAGGCGCCCGCGGCCCGGCCGGGCCTGGGACCGCGGGGCCGGGCGCGGCGCTGCGATCGCGGGGGCTCGCCCCGGCCGCGGATCCCCGGCGGCCTTCGCTGAGTAACGGGCTGGGCGGGGGGCGGCTTTGGAGTGTCCCCGCTTCGGGGCCCCCAAAGGTTAGATTTAGGCGTGGCTGGGGCTGGTTTCACGTGTTAAGGTCAAAAGTGGAGTCAAAGCCAAAGCGAGTCCTTGAAAGCCGTTGCTGGCGCTGAGTGAGCGACGTGGGGAAAACGCGGCTTTTTCGTCTAATTTTGTTTTCCTACTTGGGATTCACCGAGGAGTAACTGGAAGGAGAAAGTGTTTTCCGTCGAGAAGTCCCAGCGCCCTTTCCAGTCCCGCAGCCCTGGAACACGGGATTGGTTTTAGATTGTCCAGCTCAGCTGCCCGCCTCTGCCTCGCAGTGGGCATTCCGGGCCGGAGCGTTCCTGGAAGCGACTCGCTGTGTCCTGGCCGCCAACAGATGCCGCAGCCCTCGGGCCGCCTCCCGCCCGGCGGAGTTTTATGCCTGCACTACAGTTTTGAGAAGCGCTTCCAACCGGGACCATTGCACCTGACACCCTTTAAAACATAGTTGATAGTGCCGGGGAATTTGGCTGCAACTTGTGTAGCTGTTTCTTCAACTGCAACTAAAAGTAAAACTCAGTTTCGTTTAAGTAAAACAAAAGAAACAGCTTTCCCAAGTGTAGTCATCTTGGACTTCGAGTGTCACAGTTTTCCTCTCTGCTCTTGGCCTTTTTTTTTTTTTTTTTTTTATGGCCCTTGTCAGTCTCAGCTGTAATACTCCGCGTCTAACATGGTGTAGGCATTTAGTGCTGGAATTGGAGAGTTGTGCCAGCCAAGCACTTTGCTCGCAGTGGAGGCTGTCTCTCCCCTGTAGAGGGACTCACAGGCACCAGAGTTTGCAGGCCAGACTAGCAGCTGGTAAGATTCTGCTCCTAAATGTTTGCCTAGCCCTAACAGGCAAATGACTGAGCTCTGTGCCTTGCACAGGGCAACTGTAGCCTCCCTACAGCTGGGAATTGCTCTCAGCTTGTGTAAAGGAGGCAAATAAACAATATTAGGTTTTCCAAGTGGAAAGCTATGGAATATTATTGTTACATTCTCTGTCACCTTCTCAAGTTATGTCTGTGCTGCCTCCAATGTCAGTTCAGAGAACTTGCCTCAGTAAGGCACTCAGAATCTATGTCAGCCAGTGATGTGAACTTCAAAGCATGTATAGTTTGATGGTTTATTTATATGCCTGGGTGCATTCCTCTGTAAAACCTTGGAAAACGTCTCTGTGTTATTTTTAAGGAGAGGTCAGTTAATGTGCCAAGGTTTATATGGTCATCCTACACCATCATGTCGCTTGTTGTTCAGTTCTGTATTTTAAGTCCATTTCCATAGAGCAGGCTTTAATTATCTCCCACCAAGTCTGCTGCAGCTTTCTCATAGTCCTCTGGAAGCATTCCTCTAAACAAGCTAATTTTTTTTTTTTTTTTGGTTTAGTATAATGAGATTCCAGCTCTTCATTTTGGTAATAGTTTAAGGATTCATAGTAAGGATTTTCTCTGCAGATAATCCATTCCTGACTCTTGAATGTAGAATTAAGTTGGTTGCCTTCAGTTTCCTGGACACTTAAATAACACTTTAAGTTTATCTCTTTTGTTTTTTTTAGGATTTATTTTATTTATTTGAAAGGCAGAGTTAGAGACAGAAAGAAATCTCTTACCTGCTGTTTCACTTCCCAGTTGGCTGCAATGGCCAAAGCTGTGCCAGGCCAAAGCCTTGAGCCTGGGAATCTATCTGTGTCTCCCACGTGGGCATCAGGGGCCCAAGCACTTGGGCCATCTTCTGCTGCTCTCCCAGGCGCATTACCAGGGAACTGGATTGGAAGCAGAGCAGCCAGAACTCGGACTGGCACTCATATGGGATGTCAGCGCTCTAGGCCACAGCTTAGCCAGCTTTGCCACAGCCCCCAAGTTTATCTCTTGAAATTGTCCCTTTTCCTTGTCTCATGTCCGCGAACAGAATCTATTGTTTCCGTCTTGAGTTGTAACTTTTTTAGGTTGCGACTTCTCTATTTGATAGGAAGACAGCAAACATCAATGATAGGGTGTGATGAATACAAGATCTCTCTCAGTTACAGTTTTCCTTGAGGTAGAGATGTGAGATCCTCCTCTTATATTCCTCCTTGGAGAATATTTTTGCCCCTTCTGGTACATTTCTGCCATCTCATAAAACAGCCCCATGTTTGTATATCCTCCCTTTGCTTTTTTTCAGATAACTCCCTTTCTTGCTTTGAAAGATTACGGTAGACCAGATCCTGTTTTCTGCAGAAAGTCTGATAGGTTTCAAGTGGAAAGGAAATTGATGCCAGTTCTCATTTTTTGAGATGTAAAAATATGCAGTTACTAATAGATATTAGTATATATTTTTACTACTTAAACTGGCCTCAAGTTATTTTGACTTTGCCCTCAGTAAGAAAGCTTCTAGTAGGTGTCTGTTAGACTTCCAAAGCGCTCTGTTTGGACTTTGATTATATCATTAGCCAGTCTTCCCTTGTGTAAGTGTGCATTCTCTCTGGCTTCATTGTGAGCACCTAGAACAGTGATTGGGGAAGTGATGTTACCTGATGGTGCAGTCATTACCTGGATTTGATTTCCGCGTGGTCTCTTATAGTTAACTGTTTATGCATGGGTAAATTCTTTTACAGTCTTTGGAGTTCTGTTTTTTTCTCATCTGTAAGGGAGAACTGCAGTAGTACTTACAGAGTTGTTGACAAACTGCTAACTCTAAGCTCATGGCTTAGCACATGTGAAACTCTTTCAGTGCTGTTTTGTAACATTAAGATTATATTCATTTTGATTCCTGATGCTAAAAATTAATAAATACTGGTTGGGAGGCCAATGCTGTGGAGCAGGTAGAGCCACCACCTGCGGTGCAGCATCCCTTATGGGCACCGGTTCGAGTCCTGGCTGCTCCTTTTCCCATCCAGCTCTCTGTCATGGCCTGGGACAGTAGTAGAAGATGGCCCAAGTGCTTGGGCCCCTGCCCCCGCATGAGAGACCTGAAGAATCCAAAGCTGGGCTTTGGATCAGCCCAGCTCCAGCCCTTGCAGCTATCTGGGGAGTGAACCAGCAGATGGAAGACCTCTCTCTGTCTCTGCCTCTGCCTCTCTGTAGCTCTTTCAAATAAATAAATAAATCTTAAAAAAAAAAAATACTGGTTGAATGGATTGATAGAAAATTTTTAAGGAAACCTACTGCAGTATAGGTAATACTTTAAGCAGCTTAAATAATTTAGATTTGAATCCAAATAAAATATTTCTATTAAAATTTCTTTAAACATTTCATCAGTGTTAGGTGAACAACCAGAGAGTGCTTCAGGTATGCTTAAAGCAAATTTTTTTTTTCTCTTGTTTGTTGGAATGCTTTCTTCACTCCTTTCTTTGTTAATTTTCTACCTACCAATGTTAGAGTGAAACTATTTGTACCATCTGGGCCTGATTGTTGACAACTGTTGTAATTATAATTATTCTGGTTATAAAGGACAAATTAAAAAGCACAGTTAATTAGAATTTAAATTTCCTAATATTTTTGTGTATACTGATAACATTATAGATTTTTTTTTCTTTTTCTTTTGTAATTTATCCATCCTCTACTGTTGAAATTGTGTTTTGAATGAGATGGAAACTGTTTTGAATGAAATGGAAAGAATTTTTTTTAAGGATGTATTTTATTTATTTGAAAGACAGTTGCATAGAAAGGTAGAGACAGAGGGAGAGATCTTCCATCCTCTGGTTCACTCCCCAGATGGCTGCAACGGCTGGAGCTGCACAGATCCAAAGCTAGGAGCCAGGTGCTTCTTCCATGTCTCCACGTGGATGCAGGGGCCCAGGGACTTGAACCATCTTCCACTGCTTTCCCAGGCCATAGCAGAGATCTGGATCGGAAGTGGAGCAGCTGGGACTAGAACCAGCACCCATATGGGATGCCAGCACTTCAGGCCAGGGCATTAACCTGCTGCACCACAGCACCGGCCCCCTGGAAAGGATTTCTTTTCTTTCTTTCTTTTTTTTTTTTTTTTTTTGGACAGGCAGAGTGGACAGTGAGAGAGAGAGAGACAGACAGAAAGGTCTTCCTTTACCATTGGTTCACCTTCCAGTGGCCGCCAGGGCCTGCACGCTGCGGCCGGTGCACCACGCTGATCCAAAGCCAGGAGCCAGGTCCTTCTCCTGGTCTCCCATGCAGGTGCAGGGCCCAAGGACTTGGGCCATCCTCCACTGCCTTCCTGGGCCACAGCAGAGAGCTGGCCTGGAAGAGGAGCAACCGGGACAGAATCTGGTGCCCGACCAGGACTAGAACCTGGTGTGCCAGTGCCGCAGGCGGAGGATTAGCCTATTGAGCCACAGCACCGGCCCCTTAGAAAGGATTTCTTTTTTTTTTTTTCTTTTTCTTTTTTTTTGACAGGCAGAGTGGACAGTGAGAGAGAGAGAGACAGAGAGAAAGGTCTTCCTTTGCCGTTGGTTCGCCCTCCAATGGCCGCCACGGCCGGTACACAGCGCTGATCCGATGGCAGGAGCCAGGTGCTTCTCCTGGTCTCCCATGGGGTACAGGGCCCAAGCACTTGGTCCATCCTCCACTGCACTCCCTGGCCACAGCAGAGAGCTGGCCTGGAAGAGGGGCAACCGGGACAGAATCCGGCGCCCCGACCGGGACTATAACCCGGTGTGCCGGCGCCGCAAGGCGGAGGATTAGCCTAGTGAGCCGTGGCGCCGGCCAGAAAGGATTTCTAAGAGATGGCAGTATTGTGTGGTTATCTGGGACTCCTTTCTCTGATTTGTATTTTAAACACTTTAGCTATTAAGAGGGATAGCAAAATCTGTTAGAGCTCTAGTTACAGGTCTTAGTGTTAGACAACTCGGTGTCACTAGATGAGGGGACCCACATTAGATAGAA